TTATTTGACTATCCATCATTTCTTAAAGAGTTCTCATCTCATCAATTTATTATTGCAGCTGTAGTGAACAAATGTTGTAAAGATATTATAATTGAATTATTAAAAATATTTTCAATCCGAGATACGAAATTGTGTATATTAGATATTTCAAATATGAGTGTCGCTAAAAGAAACCCAGAAAATTTAAATATGACTTACATTTAAATGTTCGTGTTTTCTTTTAGCGACACTCATATATGACCATATATTTGGTCAATATCTTAAAAGTGATGATGAAGTAGCATTTATGGTCCTTCCTCATTTTTCTGAATGCACTTCTATATTTAGTAGTCTGACTTATTTTAATTGTAATTATCATTAGCCAGTGCGAAAGGCTCAACTTTTTAATTCAATAGTAAAAGACTGTCGTTATATTGAAAAAATTAAGCCCAGTGTTTGGTACGAGGATGAAGGAATAGTATTAGCAGATCTTATCCGTTCTAAAAAGTGTTTAAAAAAGTTCTCACTGATAAACAGCATCATTTCTCGTACAAGCTCTTGTGGATCAAAAAAGGCTTAACAGTGCGACATTTGAAGACATACATAGAAATTGTGACTTATGTGATAAGAAAAATTTTAATTATACAATTTGTGAATTAAATAGTGATGCCATCAATGCACTTGCTCAGTGTACGAACATCAAATTGAAATTTAAAACTGAAGGACACAACTTTCCTATATTTTATCCTATTGCCCATACTTTTTCAAACTTGATAGCTTAGAATATTCATATGGTGCTTATAATATTAATGACGGGACAAATCCTATTGAGTTATTATCTGATCTTATTAAGGTGAGCTGCATTACACTCAAAGAATCATACTTGATTGGTACTCCAATGACAATATTGATATAAGCTCATCAAAACTATTGCACATCGTGCTCAATGAGTCTTTAAAGATTGAACCAAATTATGCATCTGCCTCGCAAATGCGAAAGGAAATATACTGTAGTATGAAAAGATTTGATGAATCTCTCACGAACTTAAATAATTCTCTTGAAATAGTTCCAATTTATTTTCATTAAAAACTAGGGGTGCAATTTATAGAATATTAAAGAAGTATGATGAATCGCTTGTTGACAAATAAATCAAAATAGAACCATATGATGCATTTTCGTCAAAAATCGTGGTGCAATTTATAGAATAATTAAGATATAATAAATCACTTACAGACTTAAATAAATCTCTAGAAATAGAACCAAATGATGTATTTGCATTAAATAATCGAGGTGCAACTTACCTTATGAGACGTCGAGGAATACTTTATTACAAAACTAAGAAATATAAGAAGTCACTTGATGATTTAATAATTAAACCAAATAATGCATTTGCATTACAACAGAGAGCCGTATATTTTTTAGCAACAAAAATAATATTACCATAAT